TTTTTTTTTTTTCGGTGCATATGTTTTATCAGAGCTGGCTTCAGTCTTTGGAAAAACTATCTATAATCAGATGGTGAAGAGGGAAAGAAGTTACCAAGACTCTCGCTCAAAGTCAAAAGAACTTAATGAAAAAAACCTGGGAAGAGGGAGAAAGCGGGAAGAAATAATAAAAGGTTTGGTTTTGTTGTTTAAAGAAAACATTTGTTTCTCTTTCGTCAAATATTAACATCTACCTAACACCTTGCAGTCAGGTTACATGGTGACTTCTTATGCTACTTACTTTACTCTCCTGCCAATAAAGAATATTTTTTTAAATCAAGACGGAATGTGCCTGGTGCACTGGGAAGACCCAGAGGGATTGGGTGGAGAGGGAGGTGGGAGGGGGGACCGGGATGGGGAATACATGTAAAAAAAAATAAAATAAAAAATAAATAAATTAAAAAAAAAAATAGGAAAAGAAAAAAAACCCATAACCTGATTTTAAAATGAGTAAAGGACGTGAACAGACATTTTTCCAAAGAACACATACAAATGGCCAATAGGGATACAGAAAGACGCTCAACATCACTGATCATCAGGGGGATGCAAATGAAAACCACAATAAGCTATCACCTTGTACTTGCCTGCATCATTAAAAAAAAAAAAGACGGAATGTATTTTCGGTCATAATTTATTCCTTCTCTTGATTAGAGCAGGGAGAGTGCTCCTTTAACACACAGGCAGGGTCAGATTAGTTGAAAAGACCCTGTTATGAATGCCTTCTTATCCACTGGTCTTCTCTAGAACTGCATTCCATAGCAAATGGCAGCCTGACTAGGCCCCACACACAGGCTCCGGTCCTGGACGGCCCGAGGACGTTATCACACAGCCGCGCTCCCACCAGGCAGGCCCAAAGCCCTCAGAGCAAACTCTACAGCCACTCATCCCTGGTCTGTCCAGGAGGTAAGGCCTCTGTGGGCTGGCCAAGGAGAGGTCCCGCTGGTTCCACCAGCAAGAAGGCTACCAGGAGGTACATGATCCACCTGATTGCTTCTCTGAGCTCAGGCCACCATCCTTTGCATCGGCTGTCCTCCCCAACTCCATCCTTTCTGCCTATGTTTCCTGCCTTGTTGCTAAAAAGAATGCAAACAGCCAACAGCAGTGGCTCACAACCCCCGCCTGTGAGAGGGTTCTGTGTTGGGATCTCCAGCAAGCTTCAGGAACTAACATGCTCAGGCCCCACCCAGAATAATTAGAACCAAAGGTGACAGGGGCCCAGCATTTGAGAATCACTGGCTCAGAGGAAGCCAGGAGACACAGCGAATAGCGAGTGAATGAAGAAACCCAGGCAACAGGGAAACAGAAGGGGGAGAAAAAAAAGCAGGGCCAGAAAACAAGGTTAGAAACCAAGTGCAGACCACACCAGAGTTGGGACAAGAGACTGGCTCTGAGATGAGCTTCCTGGCGGCCAAAGCAAAGATGACTCACACTGTCTACAGACAAAAACAGACCAGAGTCACAGAAGAAGCTTCTCCTTGTCCTGGGGCCTGAGATGAACCCCACCCTCATGTCCTCATAAGGGGACACATAGCGTGACATAGATGAAACGTGCTCCCAACACCAGGACCAGACCCCTATGAAGTGGACAAGGGCCCCTCTGCACCCGCATGGCAGCCCTTGACCCACAGTCAGCAGTTGGGCTGCCACTGACTCTTCACTGGAAATAAACTCCTACCAGAAATCAACGCTCACATCTACGCCATGCTCCCGAATCATTTCATGGTCCAGCTGACAGCCGTGTATCTAACTAGTCATCCTGAACTCAGCATGCAGTCATGAAGCCACAGGGGAACTGACTCTGACCGTCTCACTGGGGAAAGCAGGGAAAGGCATCCACCCATGTACCGATGGCTCCAAGAGAACATGAGAGATCATCCCCTCACCACCTTGCTCAGAGAGGCCACTGTCCACCCCCAGACCCACGGCTGTGGCTGCTGAGGTTGGGAACAGCAGGGCCTGTCCTTGGTCAGCAGCCTACTGGGTGGGCCTCATGGTCCCCGGAGGCAGACAGCAGCCATGTGGGCCCGGGTGCCCCGAGGGGGATGCTATGCACAGTGCGCTTCTGCAGCACGTGTGTCCCACTCGGCAGCAAGCACCTTTAAATGTGTGTGTGGAAATAAACGGAGCCAAGGGTAAGGCACCTTCCTGCCCCCTCACAGGTGACATTTTCTTTTTGATCCACACACCACATCACCACGTTTCAAATTAAGAACTGACGAGTTAAAGCGGCAACTATTCACAGCTGCCAAAGTGGAAACAAACCAAGTGTCCATCAACAGATGAACAGACAAACTGTGGTCTGGCCACATGGCGGAATATCATTCGGCCATAAAAGGCATGAAGCACTGACACTTGACCATGGGGGTGACTGTGGAAGACAGGATGCCGACGGGAAGAAGCCAGTCACAGAAGGCCACGTGCCACATGGTTCCATTCATATCAACCGTCCAGCACAGGCAAGTCCATGGATGCCAGGGAGGGGAGGGGAGCAGTGGGGGCTGATGGGTGCAGGTCTGTCTCCTCCAGGTGTGATGAAACCAGCTTGGGAACCAGACAGAGGTGAGACTGCACAACACCGGGAATGGGATTAATGCCGCTGAGTATTTACACTTTAAAATGGCTGCTGCTGTTCCGTTGCTCTGTTGTGTTCAGCTCTTTGTGATTCAATGGACTGCAGCACGCCAGGCTTCCCTGTCCTTCACTATCTCCCAGAGTTTACTCAAACTCAGGTCCATTTACCATGGTAAATTTTATGTTATTTTATAATAAAAAATAATTAAGATAGCTGAACTCTCATTGTTTTGCCTTAATAGAAGTGCTAATAAAATTTAACCCACATCAAGATTTTGTATAAAGATGACTGTTATGCTACAACTGAAAAAACCCAGCTTTGAACCCAGAGAGTATGAACTTCAGAATTAGGACCATTGGTGGTCAGTCCTTATTTAAATATAAGTTCCCAAAGAGTCCACATCTATGAGCAATACACATTGAAGCACTTATCAACAGTTAAATCTCGGATTTGCTCTGAAATAATCTGGCAGGGGAGGGAGAAGAGCCTAGATTAAAACAGTCAAGCTGAACTATTCTATTTTTATAAGCTGGAAACCCTCCATAATGATAAGTCTAGCTTTGTTTTCAAGCAAGTTTCCAAAGATCTCTGACCTGCTGGATAGTATTCTGTGTAGATAAAAGAACTAGATGCCTCTAAACTGTCAAATTCCAGGGGCTCAACCAGGTGCCCTCCACTGAGCCCCACAGCACAGGGTCACCTGGAGGCAGACCTGGCCATAAGCAGCCACACAGAGGGCTCCTCGAAAATAACCAGAGTCCCAGGTCAGGCCACGGGGCAGCAGCACACAGAGGCGTCTGGCCTGGTCTCTCACACTGCTAACTGATGGCCCTCCAAAATGCCTGTCCCAAATTCAGCCACCAGCTGGGGTCCCGGCAATGTCTGCAAATACGGGGATCATTCACCGAAGCACCTCTTCCAAAGCCCCAGCACACCAGATGGAGCTCACCTCCAGGCTAGGGCCCAGGAGCAAGACGCTGCCAGCGCCTCCCTCCCAAGAGGCAGGAGGAGCTGATGCTGCAACTAACTGCCGGCTCACCTGTCCTGCTCCCTCTTCCAGAACTAAGTGCGCAGGGGAGGCAAAGCAGGTATCTCCCTCCACCCACCCCCACCGCATTCCCAGAGTCTAGGGGAGCACATGGCACACAGCAGGTGTTCAACAAAACGCTGCTGTGTGGTCCTGACTCGATGGGCACTGCTCTAACGGTGCACTAGAAAGACCTGCTTCTCACAGACGCCAATGCAAGATGTAAGATGGAAGGTACCAGGATGGAAAGAAGGGACAGGCGACAAGGAGTTATGGTATGAACAGCACCACCAAGAAGAGCACCAGAGAGGCTCTGGAGCATGGCACGGACAGGACAGAGGTCTGGAGGTGGGGGAGGGGGGTCTCATAAGGACACAGAAGACAGAGGCAGGAAGCTCCACCACCCTGAGCAGACACCTGCCACCACAGTGGAAGGCCGTGAGTCCCCAGAACAGGCCCAGGCCACGAAGGGAGGTGAGTGGACACCATGGGAGGGGTGGGGGCTGTGAGGAGCTGGCACACACAACCCCATCCAGAGATGGCGCCGACCCTGGCGCTGACCCAGGGTTGCCAGGCAACGGGGCAGGCCCCGGCTGCCAAGTGTTCTGATTTGTCAATGAAGCTGCAAGTCTGGATTGCTATGTAAGATCTCCTGATTTTCATGTTGGCATCTGGGGTAGACCGAATAAAGGCCTCCCAAAGATGCCCTCATCCTAATCCCAGTTAGATGGCAAAGGGGAATTACAGTAGCAGATGCGATTAAGGTCTCTAATCAGATGACCTTAAAATAGGGAGGAGGACCCTGGATTATCCAGGGGGCTCCATGTAACCACAAAGGACCTTAAAGTACAAGTGGAGGCAGGCAAGCCGCGTCAGAAGGCACAGTGGGAGAGGGACAGGGCTATAGCTGCTGGCTTTGAAGAGGAGGGACCTTGAGGCAAGGAGCTGGAGAAGGCAGGAGACAGAGCTCCTCAGAGCCTCCAGAAGAGACAGCCCTGCCTACACCCAAAGAACCACATGGACTAGGCTTGCAGAACCCTGTTGCTTTAAGCAACCCACTGCGTGGGTGGTAATTTGTTACAGCAGCCATAGGAAACCAATACAGCAACCAAGTTCAATCTTGAAAAAGAGGCACCAACAACCCAAACGAAAAGCACCGGCAGGCTGGATGGGGCCCACGGACCACCACGGTGCACATGGGGGGTGCCCAATTCCAAGTCAGGCACACAGCAGCTGCTTACATATGCCCTGAGCTAAGGACTCGGCCCCTCGCCCTGACAATGTCGTCACACAGGGCTCCAGGAGTTTTAGAGAACAGAGCTGCTTGGCTGTCAGGAGTCCTCTCCCCAGGGACCTGCTCACCAGGCAGGAGCGCTGCCCCGCCCGGCCCGGACCCGAGGAACCAGCTTCCCGGAGAGGAGGGGCAGCTGAGAGCCCCCTCCAGCCCCACCTTCTGCGACAAAAGAAAGGAGTGTGGGCATTCCAGGTCACCAGGGAGGCCTCCAGCACCCGCTCCCAGTCACCCCAGGCTGCGCCCACACACCACAGTAGTGACATCACTTCAGTCTGTCTCAAACAGCAGAGGACCTCTTCTCACAGGAGACCTTTCCAGCTCCCCACGCTCAGAGGGAGCAGAGCTGCTCAGAGCAGAGGTCAGGGGGAGCACCGGGAGCCCCCTGCCGCCAAAGCCATGTGAGAACCAGGGTGGACTCAAGGCTGATGGGGGCCTCCGTCCATGCCCCGGCCTGCCTCCTCCACACCCTCCCGGCTCAGCGAGCCTGACATCTCACCCAGGGCTCCTCATGGCCCATTCCTGCTGCTTCGGGTCCTCTGCCCCCCAAAATTCCCACTTTTCCTTCAAGATTCTGCTTACGTACCATCTCCTCTCTGACACCCAAGTTCGTTCTTGGCATCTGCCCACACTTAACTAAATGTCTCTCTTGGAGTTGACACTACCTGTCCCATGTCAGGAGCCGCTCTCTCCAGATCATCAGCTGCTTAAAGGCAGGAACTTACATCCTTTGTTTTCAAACTAGAGTATTTACAACACTGATTCACAACACAGTGTTAATTTCAGATACACAGCACAGTGACTCGTAGTGTGTGTATACTTTTGCAGATTATTCTCCTTAGGTTACTACAAAATACTCAGTATTGTTTCCTGTGCTTTACAGTAGGTCCTTGTTTATCTATTTTATGCATATATATACATATATATATTTGTGTGTGTGCGTGTGCTCAGTTGTGTCTAACTCTTTGCAATCCCATGGACTGTAGCCCACGAGCCTCCTCTGTCCATGGAATTTTCCAAACGAGAATACTGGAGCAGGTTGCCATTTCCTACTCCAGGGGACCTTCCTGACCCAGGGATTAAACCCACGTCTCTTGCATCTCCTGCACTGGTGGCATATTCTTTACTACTGTGCCACCTGGGAAGCCCTATTTTATATATAGTGGTGTGTTAATATTAATCACAACTTCCTAATCTTTCCCTCCTAGGAACTTACATCTTATCATGTATGTATTCCTAACCTACAGTATATAATACATGTGTGTTCAGTAAACATTAAGAACTGAATAAACTGGACTGAAAACTACTTTTTTCTGGAAATACCATAAATGATGATATTGTGGTTTGTGTTAAATATACCAGGTAAAACAGTATTTCTGATCTTTACTCAGTAAAGTGCATCTATCTAAATAAGGAGTTCTAAATTACAGCTATCTATTATAATTACTTTTCAGAAGTGTAGTTCTACATTTTACAAGCAGTGTCTGCTGTGGTCATCACAGTTAGGGGTGCAGGAAGGAATCTGGCTCCCAGGCTGGCCCGGTGGTGTCAGCTGCACTGACGTGGCCAAGAGTCAGGCTGAAGGAGGTCACCAAACAGCAGGGCCAGAGTCTCTTCTCCTGCTCTCACCTTGCTGACTCTGCTAACCCAGCCCACTTTCCCCGGGGTGACTGAGAGGCAAACCTCTGCAGCCAGGTGGTCACCCAACCGTCCTCCTCTGGCACGACTCCCCTAACCTGCCCCCTCTCCTCCCTCCCTCCCAGTCCATCCACAGCAGCTGACAGGAGCTCTGGGTCCCAGCACCCCACACCTCGTGACTGCAAAGGCTTCTGGCTCCCTCTGGCTCCAGCCTCGACACCCCCCCACCCAATCCCTGACACTCCCAGGAGCTCCCTGAGCACACAGTTCAGATTCGCAGCCCACACACACCATCAGTGCTCTAGAGCACTTCTGAAAACACGACTGGCTCCCTCACCACCGTCTGGGGTGTAGCCCCATCACAGGCATTCTGAAAAGCTTTCAGGCCATGTGACCTGCAGGTGCAGCCAACAATACGAACTGCAGGCTCCAAGGGCTTTGATAGCCACCTTCCTAGGCAGCAATGAGGCCCCAAGGAGACCCCTCCAGAGTGGGACTCTGGCCTCTTCACCCTGACACACACCCCAGGGCTGGCTCTGGAACCCATCCAGTCCGGTGAACACAGGCTGGCCAGGCCCTCACCCACAGGAAGTAGGCCACGCTACATGCCCTGCCAGAGGGTGCTCCCAACACTAGAACCCCAAGGCCGCAGCCCCACTGGAGCTAGTGGCCACCCAGTGCTCCCTGCTCTCAGGAGGCATCTGCCCAGCAGGGCTGCTTCCACAGCCTGCTCCACACACACCCCACACCCCCGCCAGGCACCCGCCCCCTGCCTGCCTTCTGGCTCCCTGTCCAGCCAGGTCCAGCTGTGATCCTGTCTTCTCCCTGACTCTTCCAGACTTTTCTCCACTCTTGATTTCCTGACCGAGAACCAAAATCACAACTCAACAAACCACCAGCTTCTGCCTCACTAACACTCTTTTTCTCTCCTGGTGGCGGGAGCCATGGCTTCTCACAAACACCCAGCTCTGACCTCAGAGACCTTGTGCGTCACTCCTGCAGGCCAACGCTGCCCTCAGATATTGGCCCTATGGTCATGGAACCACCCTGACTTGACACCCATACTTCTACATCAACTAACTGCCTCTCAGAAAGTGGCCTAAAAGCTATTTCTCTGATCATCCATTTCCCAGTATACCCCATGACAGCTCTGTGTATCAAACAGGCATTCAGGGAGGACGTACTTTCAAGTAAAAATATGAATTTTTCAGTCCATCATCATTCCTTGATTGCCATGACCTTGGGGGAGGCAGACACAGAGAAGCGGACAGACTCTGGCTAGCAACCTGTAGTTCTCAGGATGTATTCACCCCAGAGTCTTAGAGAGTTTGCAAAACAACTAACTCCAAACCTCCAGGGCCTCCCAAGAGCACAGGGCAGGTACTGACACATAGCTGTTTATCACCCCTTGGCTTGGGAGCTGCAGGCAGTTTTCAAACCTTGGGAAAGTGATCACACCCCAGCCTCCTCATCCATGGGAGGTAGGACCAGAAAAATGACCCATGTGCTGAAGGCATTTGTGAAATGCCTGCTGAGGAAGGTGAAGCATCATATTTTTATTTATATGCAACATTTTAAAACTACAAAGTTCTTTGGTATGAATTTGATCACATTTTAACAACAGCATTACCAGACCATTTTTTAGTCCTAAACACCCATGTGCTATGTTCACAGAACGAATGTGCAGTTTCAGGATCACAGAGTTAAAAAAGAAAAAAGCCCCTTCTCTCAAAGAGCAATTTGGGCGATTACTTCAGCATGGCTTTACGAACACAAAACCCGTTACCAGACACACGGACTTCCTCCCACTGGTCCAGCCAGGCTCCCCCAAGGTTCCTGCTCTACTCCTTGCTCTACACACCCAGGCAGCTCTGGGTCTCAGAATTGACTTCTGCACCTCTGGGCAGGGAGGGGAGGTGTCATAGAAACAGCTCATGAGGCCCTAAACTCAGACAGGCAAGGATTCAGGTCCTGCCGGCACTGGGTGGGTGCCAGTAAACAAGCCCGACCCCTCCGAGCCCCAGCTCTGCTCACCTGTGAAGCGCCTGCCTCCGGGTTGCTGTGAGGTACCGTGAGGCAGTGCGCACACCTGGGACAGTTGCAGGGCGAGGCCACGGAAACACTGTGGTTTTCAATCTGACACGGGCAGTATCTGGCGGCAAATATCAGCTAGGGCAATGACTAGCTGTGTGGCCTGAGGTCAGCTGCTGAACCCCTCTGAGACTTAGTTTCTGCACAGGCGAAAAGAAAGTGGTGACAGGCCTTGGAGGATCCCTGCGCCCTGTGGAAGGAGTCGTACAGGGCCAGGCACAAAGGAGACACTCAAAGATCGGCAGGGCTCACTCACACCCACGTGTCTGGTTTTGACAGACAAGCTGATCATTACTACTGGAGGCAAAAAAAATTTTCCTTCCAAACTGTAAACACCAAAGACTGTGAAATCACTCTGAACTGCTGGAGGGAGGAGCAACTTCCATTAACACCAGAGGCCACCCCCAACAGCCCCGTGGGAGTTTGCTCTTGTCCAACGCCACGCCCCCTGCCCTTTCTCAGCCACATTTCTAAAGAGCCTTAACAGCGAACATCTTGCTTGATGTGTGGGAATGAAGAATCAGCTTTTCAAACAGGATTCTGGACTTAAACTGCCTCTTTGAACAGCACTGACGTCTACGTTCCCTTCGTTAAGGACAACATCCTGACTAACCCACAGAGTCATCGTCCTGTGACCACAGGTCAAATTACAATCACGTAAGAACAAGTGAAAACATCACTTTGAGAAACCAAATTCCCTTCCCAAGCGTCATGCCACCATCTCACTAAGAAAACTTGGGAGGCAGCAAGGATGTGCTGCTGGTGACTCTCCAGCACAGCCAGCCAGTAAAGACTCCTCACTGGCCTTCCCAGTCTGTCCTGTGGGCCTGCATTCCCAATCTGGCCCCAGAACCAGCAGCATCAGAGAACACCTAGTAACTGGCTGAAATAGCCCATTTTCAGGCCTCACTCCAGATCCACTGGGTCAGAAACTCTGGGGGCAGGGCTGGGGGCAGGCCACCCTCTGAGCGATGCTAATATGCACCAGTGGTCGAGGAAGACCACTCCTCTATCTGCAGTGGTTATTACTGGCCCCTTTAGAGACAAGGAAAGCAAAGTTCAGCGATTGAAGTGCCCAAAGCCATCCAGCCAGGAGGCCAATCTATACCCACACTTGATTCCAAAGCTGTTGCATGGCTTCTGTAGGCAAACTGTCTGTGCCATTTGATGTCCTCAGCTACGGAACCCTGTTCTGTGAAGGCGGGCTGGGCCGGGGGGGGGCGGGGGTGGGGGTGGGTAGTGAGAGGAAGGATGAAGCCTGCACTCAGAAGTGATGAATTATAGATGCTTTTAAACCCATATCATGCATCAGCCTGAATGGTCAGTCACCACTCAAGCTGAGCCTAATTCTCCTGGCTCCACTCATGATCCATGCGCCAGGAAGTAGACGGGGTCCCTTCCCTGACAGCCTCTGTGCACAGTTCCAACCACCACTTCGACCAGGTAAGGGACATGGCTGCCTCCTCTGTCTCCAGAGGGCTGCCGTGCTCCACCCAAATGAGGGCCCACAGGAAGGCACAAAGCAGCCCCAGCACCTGGGTGCGCCGGGCTGAGTCACCAGAAGGAATCCCATGCACGTGGGGGATCGTAACAGTGCTGAGGACCTGCTCAAAAGAGCTAGGCGGTTCTCGAAATCCAAAGCCGAAATTCAACCTCTATCAGTTCAAATGGTCCATTCAAACCTCTGTGTCTTCACAGACACTGAAGTTAGGAAAAAGACACACATCTCCTCGTTCACAATTCCCAGCCCTCTAAATAAACGTGGTGGTTTTCAGGTCACAAGTGTGTCCTATAACAGAAATGAGCACTCATCATGTGGGGTGTTCTGCAGGGGCTGGTGGAGTGGGAAGCACCCAGCTTTGGGAACCACACAGGCCTGGGTTTGACGCCTGGCTGGGTCAGCTCCTCAAAGGTTACTTAATCTCTCTGGGCCTGTTTTTTCACTCACAATGGGTGGCAACCCCTGTGTTACATGTGGATGTGAAGACAGAGGGGAATTATGTTCAACAAGAGTCTGCTGAACAACTTTGCATTTCAAGACATCAAGAATCTGGAAGGTAGGTGCAGACAGACAAGCTTGTGGACAGAGGCCACTCAACACACCTTCTCTCAGCAGTATGGACACTTACTTCACTGTGTTTGCTTCTCTAAGCGTCTATTTTTAGACATCTTGAACAAACTAATTAAGACCAAAGAAAATTCCATTGAGGAACTTATCAGAAAGCCTGTCAATTTTCAAAAACTTAACAGATGGAGACAAAAAGACATTTCACAATGCATCTGGCAAAACCAAAGGGTGCTCTCTCCCACCTCAGCAATCCTAATCAGGTCATCCCATGGTACTCGGTCCTCCGCCAACTCACAGCTGGGCTTAGAACAAGTCTCTTCACCCCGGGACTCAGTTTCTCAGATGAGATTAAGGCATCATAACATCTGGGGAGTCAACACACCTGTCTAAATTCAGCCTCATCACATATTGGCTGCATGACCTTGAGCACAAGACTTACGCTCTTGGGCCTCAGTTTCCTCATCTGTAGAAGGGGGTAACACCCTGGTACAGGACTGCTGGACCAACCGTAGCAGTTCTGGCAAGAGCAAGACAGAACCGTGGATCCCGCAGTGGGGATGGATAAGCTTGTTCCCTGCTGTCCACCGCCCAGGACTCCTTATTCACATTTCATGCTACACTGGATGAAAATATTTTTTTTTCTTTTATAAAAAATATCATTCAGCTGTATCGGGTCTCAGTTGTGGCACGTGGGTTAAGTTGCTCTGCAGCATTTAGGACCTTAGGTCACCGACCAGGGATCAATCCCACATCCTCTGCCTTGCAAAGCAGGTTCTCAACCACAAGAGCACCAGGGAAGTCCCGGAAGACCTGTTTAAGTAGAATGCTTGAACTGAGAGCCTAGCAGACAAAAGCGAGGTAGGACTGGATAATTCCTCACATCCTCCCCAACCTCAATCTCCCAAATCCAAGCCCTTTGATTTCTCCAAGGCTCAGAGTCAACAGATCCTCAGCCATGAAACAACAGCCACAGTCCTCCACACCCACCAATCCACCAGGAAGGTTCTGGAGAAGGGGGAGAACAGCTGCCAGGGAACTCTGAAAACTTAAAGGCACTTCCCTAGAAAGTGACAACAGCAGCCCTGTGCGTGAAAATCCTTCAGTACTTCAGGCCACAAAGAATTGAATGCTGCCACTCTTCCTAATGAAATCTAAACAACAATTACTATTATTATAATAAATGCCCACTCCTTAGGTTCAGGAAAAGCCAAGTCATTGAAATAAATCAGAAAGACTTCCCTGGTGGTCCAGTGGCTAAGACTCCACGCTCCCAATGCAAGGGGCCTGGGTTCGATCCCTGGTCAGGGAACTAGATCCCGCATGCCATAACTAACACCTGGTGTAGTCAAATAAATATCAAAAAAAATAAAATAAATCAGCATCCCAAGTAATTCTCAACTACTTTTTGCAGGGCTCTTATCAGAATCCAAACACTCAGGAAACTCACGTCTTGTCATGGAAGAGTTACACAGAGAGTCACCTGCATTTCTAGAGAGGATTTTCATAAAGGATGTTGCATTTTTCAAGACCGTACACACCATACTAGCTTTCATCACGCGAAAGTCTTACATTTCTTCACACCTCAGGCACAGGCTTGGAGTCACACACACTGCTGGGAGAGAGATCTCCCCAGAGCACCCCACCTGCCAGGCACAGGGAGGCAAGAAGCCTGTGTAAACCGAGATCAGGACAGCCCACAACACAACCCAGACACGCTCCTGGCCAGAGGGCTGGTGGGATGCAGCCCTGGATTGTGCCTCACTCTAGTCAGCACTTCACCAAACTCTTCAACAGCCAGTAACTCATCCAGGACAGTGGAGGACAGCCTGGCCTGCTATAGTCCATGGGATTGAAAAAAGTAGGACACAGCTTAGCACTGAACAACAACTCATCCAGTGGGCTTCCCTGGTGGCTCAGTGTTAAAGAATCTGCCTGCCAATGCAGGAGACCCAGGTTCAATCCCTGGGTTGGGAAGATCCCCTGGAGAAGGAAATGGCAACCCACTCCAGTATTCTTGCCTGGAAAACTCCATGGACAGAGGAGCAAAGGGGTCCATGGTGTCACAAAGGGCTGGAAACAAGTGACCAACTGAGCATGCATGCAATCAACCAGTGCTTACAAAAGAAAAACTCAGTAAGACTGGTAAGGATGACTGACCCAATATTAAAACTAAAGAAGCAAAAAAGTTTTAAAAATGTAAAAATACAGATACAGATTTTTTTTTTTTAATGAAGATAAATAAGAAATGAGAAGATCTTGGCAGACTCTCTGACACAATCACCTGTCCCAAACACAATTGCTGGAACAAGCACCACTCAGGAACAACCTGTAGGCCCTTTGGATGTTTATTTAAATACAGATGAAAACTTAATTATCAGTGCAAATTCAATCCCTGCTGCGCAGGATTCAGCCTATGATCTGTTAGCACCTAACATCCGTATATAGAGCTACAAGATGCACAAGTTTTCTGCCAAATCTTCATTATCTTACATAACTGGAAGAGGGCAAGGACAATTAAAAATTAAAATTCACCTTTTTCAATCATTTTAAGCTCCTCCTGGAGGTAGAAAGGAACAACTCCTACTTCTCATCTTTTCTGTTCAAGTTCTTAGTGAATGTTAAAGAGAAGAGGGATAACCCTGAACATCTCTCTAAAAAAAAAATTCTAAAATATCCCAGAGAGAGCCCCGAGCCCAAGCTTCTAGTTCCGGCACCGACGCTGTATCACCGCATGACCCAGTGCCTCTCTCTGGGCCTCAGTTTCCCCATCTGAATCCTCAAGGTGGTTAAGCCCATCCTCCTCCCAGCACAGGCTCCGACGCGTCCCCAGGGCAGCTAAAGGGCGAAGGGCCCCAGACGGAGCCCCTGGGCGGAGGAATGGGTTCCCACGGGCCCCTGCCGGGATTTCTGGGGAGAGCGAGGAGTCCTCACCCCCTCCCCCCCGCAAAGCCACCAGGCCAACTCCGGGTTGCAAACAAAAACCTGTTGGCACGGACTCCTCTCGGAAGGGCCGGCCTCTCCCAAGGCGCTGGGCTCCCGGGAGCCGCCCCACGGGGAGAGAAACGAAGGTTCCCCTGGAAGAGGCGGCCCCACGCACCCCTTCACCCACCTCGACCAGCCCGGCAGGACCGCGGGGCGGGGTCTCGCCATCCCACGCGGAACAAAAGGCAGCTAGAGCCTGGCTCCGCCGCCCCCGTCCCTGCTGTGCCGTGGAGCGGGGAGGGCGAGCCCGGTCCCTGCGGAGGGGAGGGGGCCCGCGGCGGCCCAGAGGGGGGCGGCCGGCACCTGGACGAGGCCGGGGGCGCCCGGCCTGGGGAGGAGGGGCAGGGTGGGTCCAGCTGAAAGGTGGACGGCGAGGCCTGGACGGGCTCCCGGAGCTGCGGCGGGCGCGGGCAGCCCGGGGCTCCGAGGATACCAAAGGAAGAGCTCCCTGAGGGGAAGGGAGGGGGTCCCTGCAGAGGAATGAGGACCCAGACGGGGAGGGGCCGTGCTCCAGCCCGTGGGGCGGGGCCTGCTGGGTAAGAAGGGATCCCGCCTGAGGTGGAAACCCGGCTGGGACCGAGGGGTGCATACTCCCGGAGGTGGTGGGGGGATCCGCGCTCTGGGGGCGCTCTGGGGAGGGGCAGGGTCCGCGCCCTCAGTCCGCTCCGGCCCCCGAGCCCCGAGGCCCCGGCTCACCTGCGCTCCTCCGGGCCGACCCGGGTGCGCGGCTGCGGCCTCCAGTAGAGCTGAGGAGGCGGGAGCGACTGGAGCCCGAAGAGTCGCTGCCGCTTCCAGCTTGGTTTGACACCCACACACCAGCCAACATGGCGGCCGGGAGGGGGCGCGCCGGCTGCGTGCGCGCGCCCGCCGGCCCCTCCCCTCCGCCCGGCCCAGGTCCCGAAAGGCCCCGCCCAGTGCCCCGAGGCCCCGCCCTGGGACCAGCGGGCCGGCCCAAGTCCCGCAAGGCCCCGCCCCCTGCAGTCTTGCCCCGCCCCGCGCCCCCCGGGGCCAGGGTCCCAACCAGTCCAGGTTCCACTTTCTCTGACCCCGCGACCTCCCTCGGGTACCCACGACCCCACGCAGACTACCCAGCCTTCCCACCACACCCCACAGCCCACGCCCCAACACTCTATAAACAACCCCCAAACCCTACGCACGACCCCACACCACTGCACAAACCGTGGCAAATTCACCCCTGAACCCACGCACACGGCAACCTTCACTCAGACCCCACAAATCCCCCCACATCCCAGGCACGTCCCACAGGTCCACACACCCTCTCCTCCTTCACATACACACGCCGAGAGCCCCCAGCCGAAGCTCAAACACGCTTCCCCTCGCTGTGTGCTCTTGTAAACATTAACAAGTCCGGGAGGTGGAGCCGGATGGTGGGGGTGGGTGGTTGTGCAGGGGCGCCGGGTGCTGGGGTACGAGTGTTACCCTTGGTGAAAATTCACTGATGCATGCTACAGATGTGTCACTTTAATGTATGCTGAAAATTATTCTGAGGATGGTGCAGAGACTTTGCTAGACTGCTAATGGCATTGTGACCCTAAGAAGGTGGGGCGCTGGGTTCATCCTCCTCCCATGAGGGGCTTATAGACCTCCCTGGTGCAGGCTTGCCCCTTCACAGGGCCTCGCACTCTCACATAGGAAACACCTCCTCCCTTCGGTTCAACCAGGGCCCACGAGACACCTACTATGTGCTAAGAACCATGCTGGAGGAGGGCCAGACCCTGGAGAGAAACCCAAACCCAACTTGCTCCAGTCAGAGTGGGATCAGCAGAGACACCTCACAGCAGGGTCTGGGGATGCATCAGGGCTTCCTGGATTGGCAGAGAGCACCCTCCCGCAGCCTGTGATCCAAGGAGTCCCAGGTGACCTCAACACTATGCCAAGCTCTGTTTTCAGGGGGGCTGTGTCCAGCAGTCCCACTGTGCCCTCACTGGCAAAGGCATGGAAGGCAAGCCACTGTCCTTCCCTGAGCCCTTCCGCCTGTGCGAGAGGAGATGGGGGATAACAGCCCTCTGTTCTCACTAGCTAGAATCTAGACTGCCCTTCTCTGGCCACAAGATAAGAGGGAGAGAAGGAAGGAGAGGGAAGACTGGAAGGAATGATGAGGGGGAGGGGAGAGGCCGAGAGAGACACTAACACCTCTGCAAAGCCATGTGGCCCTCATTCCTTTGCAAAGTCCGACAGTGGTAGTCCTAGAGGCCAGAAACCACTTGTCCAACCTGCCTTCAGGCTCCACATGCCTTCTCCACCAGAAAGTGAATGAAGCCCTGTGTGCCTGCCCCCAGAGGCAGGAACCTGAGCTCCCCATTTTGAACCTGGTCCACCCCCATCCTGGAGCACCCTCCTGGTGAGCCCCAGCTCTCTGCTGGACCTTCCTGGGCCTGCAGGAGGGCAGCACTCTCGCTGAAATCATGGCCCTCCACCCCCGAAGAGTCTGCAGCTACAGATGATCTTGTGCCCACACACAGCAGGTGCCCAGCACAGGCTGGAGTGCTGTCCACAGACCAATGCTGCCACTAGGACTCCTTGGGAGGATGCATTGCAGTCTAGCTGTCCTGTCCACATGTAAGCACTTGAAATGTGGCCAGTGCAACTGAGGAGCTGCAGTTTTAAGTCCTTATTTAACTTTAGTTGATGAATTTAAACAACCACGTGCCCCCACCAGGCATGGCGCTGGCCCCAAACCTCACCACAACCCTTCAAGGTGAGTCTTTATATTGTTCACATTTTACAGGAAAAAAGTGAGGTTTGGAGAGATGCCAGGCTGGATCACCCAGGCCAACATTTGCCTGCAGAACCCAGTCCTTTCCACACCCAGCTTGCAAATCTGCACTGCCACAGAGATTTAGGAAAGAGAGCTGGATGTAGATAAAGAGATGATAAGCCAACCACAGCCCAGGAAGTGAGCTGGAGAGCAATTCAGGGGATCAAGCCAGGCTGCAGAGTAGACAGGGCCTCCTAAGTCTGGAAGACCATCTCCCCTGTGCAAGGTTGGAGGGGACATTCCTGCATTCCTCAAACTCACTTCTCCTTCACTCCCTTTGAAGCCCAGGGCACTCTGGCACTTCTCTCAGTTCATCCCCATAAGGAGCCCTTGAGGTTAGCAGCACCACTCCCATTTTAAAAATGAGGAAACAGAGGCAGTGCATGGCCATGCTGGGATTCAAAGCCAGGTTCTCCTGGGTCCACAGCATGTAAGCTGTCTTACAGAGGAAGGTGCAGGATAAGCCAGATACTCTGCCCAAGGCCCAAGCCGACCCAGGGCACAGGCTGGAGCAGTCAGGCTCATCTGCCTTCCTGGGGCTTCCATGTGGCTCAGTGGTAAAGAATTCACCTGGCAATGCAGGAGACGTGGGTTCTATCCCTGGGTCAGGAAGATCCCCTGGAGAAGAATGGTTACCCACTCCAGTATTGTTGCCTGGAAAATCCCATGGACAGAGGAGCCATGAGGGCTACAGTTCATGGGATTGCAAAGAGTCAGATACACCTTAGAGTTTGGAGGTGAGTCTCAAATGCCTGAAGAGGCAGAGTGATGGAGGCCAGTCAGGATGATGAGGTTCAGAAGCAGGAAGAAATGGCTGTACAGATGGGAATGTCTCTGGGGTTAGGGAGGGAGGGCTTCAAGGGGGAGGCACTGCAGGCAGGGAGAAAGGGCATGCCGTGAAGATGGCATGCATCTTCTCCTGGCAACGATGCAGGAGGTCTCAGGAAGCTTCATCCAAGGTCTGAACTCCAGATCCAAATCCATTTGTCCAGCAAGCAGAGCCTATGCTGGCCAGCCCTCAGGTTCCCCATCTGTGAAGTGGGGGTAGCAATCCCTCCCACCTTGAGGGACTGCATTTCAGTTCAGAATGAGAAAGCAGAGGAGGAAAAGCATTAGAAATTGTGAAGCCCTAGATGGGCAGTGGTTCTTATTAGGGCACAGAGATAAAGCTACCCTGGTCCCTCCAGGGGCTGGAAGTCTGAAAGGGCAGAGGAGTCCTGAACACAGACAGAAACCAAAACACTGAAATCACAAGAAATCATAAGAGAAAGGGCATGAGGGCTCAGAAGGAAGCTTCCTTCTCATTTTTAGGGAAGGAGCAATATTTGCAGTATTTTCTACATTAATCAATAACCTGGCAATTCAGTAGAGATTTGCATAACACCTTTTTTCTACAACATGCCTCAGAAACAAGTTTTTATGATCTTCCTCAGATTTACTGCCTAGGGCATGAAGTGTAACAATAAACAACAGCATCAGCTTAATATATAATTTTCAATCTGTGACCCAACACTCCTAGTCTTTATTGGCCATTACTCCTCAGGCTTTTTCCCCTATAGTGGTGAACATTCCAAACAAGATAGGCTATTTTTTTTAATGTTATTTATTTATGTATTTATTTTTGGCTGTGCTGGTTCTTTATTGTGGTGCTCAGACTTCTCATTGCAGTGGCTTCTCTTGTTGCGGAGTAGGGGCTCTAGGGGATGACAGAGGATGAGATGGTTGGAAGGCATCACCGACTCGATGGACATGAGTTTGACCAAGCTCTGGGAGTTGGTGATGGACAGGGAAGCCTGGCGTGCTGCAGTCCATGGGGTTGTAAAGAGTCAGACACGACTGAGTGACTGACCTGAGCTGAACTGAGGGCTCTAGGGTGCCTGGGCTCAACAGCTGCGGCGCACAGGCTTAGTTGCCCCGTGGCGTTTGGGATCGTCCCAGACCAAGGATTAAACCCTTGTGCCCTGCCTAGGCAGGTGGATTCTCAACCACTGGACCACCAGGGACGGCCTTTATTATTATTTTTTTAATTTGGTAAACATCTTTAACAATAATACTTAAGGAACTTCCCCGGCAGTCCAGTGCTTAAGACTCCATACTTCCGCTGCATGGGGCGTGGTTCCTTCCCTGGTAGGGGAGCTAAGATCCCATACGCTGCACGACTCGGCCAAAAGAATAAAAATAGCAATAATCCTTAAAAAAATGCAGGGGCTTCCCCGGTGGTCCAGTGGTCAAGAATCCGCCTGTCAATGCAGGGGACACAAGTTCAATCCCTGGTCCGGGAAGATTCCACACGACTTGGAGCAACTAAGTCCATGAGCCACAACTCCTGAGCCCGTGAGCTTCAGTTACTGAAGCCAGAGTGCCTAGAGCCTGTGCTCCGCAACAAAAGACGCCACCACAATGAGAAACCCACTCGACCGCAACTAGAGAAAGCCCGAGAGCAGTAAAAAAGACCCAGCACAGTCAAATAAATAAATCAATCTTTAAAAAAAAAAAAAACATGCACACATTCTACAAATACCTCGCCAGTATTTTTCAAAACTGCCAAGGTCATGAAACACACAAAAGACTAAGCAGACAAGATAGCTCAATAATACCTGCTTCGCGGTAGGAGACTATGGGCAGGAAGCATATAGTCCAGGGCCACGTGTACAGCGGGCCCTAGCACTCTCGGGATCCGGTGCTGTGGGAAAAAGAGCAAGAAGACTGGCCTTGGCTCTGGAAGAGGCCGGGGCTGATGGAGCAGACTGTCAGGATCTACCAGTCTCTCCGGAGACCTGGGACCTCAGCTGCAGACCGGTTCTCCTTCCGCCCTCTCCTCCCACTCACCTCTGCTCCTTTACTGAGCCCCTCCTTGTGAAGCTGGTTCGTGCTGGGGCGCCAGGCTGGGGGAAGCTGACCCAGACACAGAAGTTACAAAGCCAAGACACAGAGGTCTCAAGAGAGGGCAGGAAGCCAATGACCTCAAGGGGTGAGACAATGCAACAGTTTTGGCCATTTAGACCAGAAAAAGGCAAAAAAAAAAAAAAAAATCCCCCCAATGTTTC